ATCCTCCCGAGGTTATTAAGTGTTTAGAATCTTGTTTACGATCCACCCTATTCTTATTTCGAGGGTATCTAAAGAGACAGAAAGGTGTGGCAATGGGTTAACCAGACTCTCTGATTGTAGAGAATTTATTCATGAATCCCTTAGAAACCAGTGCGACCACAAAACGTGTAAATCGACCCAAAGTTTGGTTGATGAATGTAGATGACTATTTTTTCATCATTAAACGAAATGTGAAAGAAACATTTGAAAACGCAAATAACATATCAGACAGCATTGAGTTAAGCAAGGAGGTACAGTCCACTAACCACAAACTAGCGTTTCTTGATTTTTAGTTGAAAGCAGACATAACAGTAAGTTAAAACTTAATGTATTCATAAAATCAACACATTCTGAGAGACACTTAGATTATAGTTCAGTTCATGGTTGTTGTGCGAAGGTCACAGTGGTGAAAAATTTCATTAATAGTTATCATCTCACTGTGGTGAAAGATCAACAAACTGAACTGAATATATTATTGTCTACGTTTAGGGCAAACAATTACCCTAAAGAGCTTTTAAAGAAGATCGTTCGAAATAATGTAAAAACAAAGAATGGAAGAACACAGTGGTCACCCCATCCGGTAAAGAGATATCGGAAGAAATTAAGATTCTAAATAAACACAATATAAGTGTATTTTTGGACTAGTGGAACCATAAGATCCCCGCAAAGTTAAGGATAGGGTTTCCAAAGGAAGAACAACAGAATGTTGATTATGAGATCAACTGTCAAGATTGTAATGCAGCTTACGTGGAGAAACATCTAGACGATTGAATGCGGGGATGAGGGAACAAAAACAGTGTTTGGAACATGTTCCCAAATCCCCAGTGAATCTAAAGAAACATGAGAATAGGTCGGCGATATCGTTCCATGAGTTACGAACAGGACACAAGATCAAATTCGAAGGGACCGAAGTACTTCAGAAAGAGTTTGGCACGCATAAAGAAAGATTGACAGCAGAGGCGTTGTATTTATGGGCTAATAAGATCCTAAACATAAAAGATAGTATTCAACTACCTAACCCTTGGAAGACGACAATTAACAAGTAATTAGATCCTATATCTATGCAACCAGTTTATTCTACATGCTCTGTAGTTCTGCGGGAAATTAATTTGAATGTTTTATCACAACTATGTGTTTGATGAGTCTCGTTTAGTGTACACATCGACGTTTCAAAAGATATTTTCAATCTGTATTTTTATTCTTACTTTAACAAAAATAAATTAACACTTAAAATCAACTATTAATAACTCAAACACATATACACACACTATCAATCAGTCATCTACATTTATTTATTTTCAGTGTGAACTATTGGTGGATTAGTTGGAGTTATACATTACCAGTGTTGAATGCCAGCTCAGTGGTCTAGAGGTTAAGTGTTCGCGCGAGAGACCGATAGGTCCTGTTTTCGAATCCTGTGAGCCGGGTTGTGGATGCGCACTGCTGAGGAATCCCGTACTAGAGCGGAACGGCCGTTCAGTGCTTCCAGATTTTCCATGGTTATCTAGCTTTAATCGACTCACGACTTCAACTATTAAACAAATTAACAACTAATATCAACTGGTTATAACGTAAACTTACATATACACACGCATATATTTACATATTTATCTATTTATGCATAATTCACATGTCCTACTTAATAAAATTAACATCTGAATATGATTGGATAAACAGGGAATAGATTTGATTTAATTATTAAACATTATATGTTCATTGATAAATTCGATTTTGATCATTACACTGAAGAAGTCCAAATAAGTTTGCTGGACAAAATGTTGGAATTAAAATGGTTAAGATTAGTTCAAATATAATTTTAACACTGGCATCGGTTTTTGTGATTGACCCTATCAAACTAGATCAACTCGTAATGCAATATACTTTATTATTATTACTGTTATCATAAACCATGGCTATAACATGTCAGAAATAGAGCTGAAGTAGACACCATGTAGTCACTTTGTAAATCCTTTCCCCATTAATATATTTATTAATACTGTCTAGTTATTAATAATTTTTCAAGTGCATTAAGAATTACTTTTAAATAATAGTTTCATGAAAATCATTCTATTATCTCTTGCACATGTAACAGTGTTTATAAGTCTAATAAATTGATGATAAGATTTGACTCGGTAAATTGATTCCCCACTCCCATCACTGACGTTTCTATTTGCTTGTAAATTAGTCAGAAATCATAAAATTGCTGGACTTAGAGACTCCAAAATATTTCATTCACAATTTAGGATTAGTTGTCTAGATAAATAGGGAATAAATGTATGGTAATAATGGAAATTTTATCAAAAAGAATTGTTGTCTTAGTAACTCTTGGTCGGTCTTTTTATGAGCTTATGTTGATTTGTAATGAATATATTCAATCAGTGTTAGAAAGTCTATTTATAAAAACTCAGCTACAGGGCTTTGAGGCAAATACTATGACAGTTCTAAAGTACACATGATTGGTGAAGTTTCGTCCCATTCGACTAGCACTGTTAATGACCACTTCTTGAACGTACACTAAGTTACTCAATATGAACTTATGGATTACTCATTCGAGTTAGTGATAGCAAGAAATACATCACGTTGTATTCTTAATTTTTTTGTGTCCAGGAGTAGGAAATAATCCAGGTAGTATAAACCCGGTATGTTGTTCAATATACTCATTACGATGTTCGGTTTAATTATGTACGAGTTCAGAAGTAAGTAACAATTATGATGATGAGAGGTCCTTACTGAATCAGAAATCAAATTATTGAACGCTAAATAAATTGAAAATAATGTTCAGTTATTTGAACAGATGATCAAACCATACCTAATATGAAATAGATGAAGATCGACTTATGATGAATACTATATAAAATGATTCGAGCTAACACTTTATTATTTAGAGTATTCGATAAAAAAATTTTTAGTTTTACTCCTTTAATATCACCTTGCACAGTTTCTGGCTATTACGTATTAATATGATTTAACAATGCTACATAGCTGAACCAATCAAGATACAAATGATGAATTTTATTAATGACTGACAATTTGAGTAAATATGTAGAGAATATCTAAGTAGAGTGGTTGGGAAGCTTAGGACTGATAATAATTTGTTTGCTGTTATGATGGAATAGAAATGGAAATACAGATCCAAAACACACGGAACGCTCAACAGTACTGATGCAAAGTGGTGATAAAGGAGTCTCAAATAAATCATATTATTAGTTAGCATTTTTGTAGTGTTAAACTACTCATATATCCTTCAGATAGTTGTCCCAATTTTCGAGTAATTTTGCAAATATATCGAAGTCAATATGTAGTCATCTGGAAAACTACTTACGGCTTTATAAAGAGTTAATGAAGAAACTAACCTAGACTCAAGCACTGAAAATCTTGATTTTAAAGTTAAAAAATTGATCAAAAACATTGATAAATTTGTTAGCAATGTAGAAATAAACTCTTTATTACTTTTTTAAGAGGAATTTTCTTGACCATACCTCTAAACTAACTCACTTACCAGTAGGCAACATAAATATTTTAAGATTGCTGAAAGTTCACGATGTAGTAGCGTGTTAAGGGTAATGTCCTTAATATCTGACTCCAGTAAATAATATCCCGTAAACTGAGTATTTTTGGTAGGCTTAATCTCTTAGTAGAATTGTGAATTTACTCGAGATTGTTAAAAAGCCTGAACACCAGTTAAAGAGATAATTTATTGTTAATGAATAATGATAATCCACAAGCGTATGTGAGCAAGCACACGATGAGAACAGAGAGAGTGTGAGTTTGTTAAAAATCCATATATATTTGAGGGTTAATCGGGTGTGGATAAATTATCGATTATCTGCACGTTGAAACCAATAGGAAAATAGTTTAAAAGTTAATGTACAGACATGCATTCGATCATACACTCCGAAATTAACATAGTGAATTAAGAGTCTAAGTTACAATGGATAGACAGATGATACAGTGGCCAAATGGGCTTGCCACAAGCGTTTCATCAGCTTTGCAAATAAAAAAACTTATTAACACTTGTTCGTACAATTATCACTCAAGTATTAATATAGAAATTTAAGACAACATTGAATTTCTCCGTTTTTAGTAAAATCACATTAGTAGATCAAGCGTCACTTGACAACTTACGAACACTACATAAATTATACAATGTACTCGGATTTTTATAATAATATGATTCGGTTCTGAGATTATTCGGAATAAATTAGGATAGTTTTAAGATGATGACGGATAATGTATGAAATTTATTTAACGAATACATTCTATGCATCAGTATGTGAAAGATTGCTGATAGATAGAGGACAGGTTATTATGAAAGAACCAGAACCATATTATATCATTTTTTATCCAGTGAAATATAGAACACTGAAATAGTTTTAATAGAAAACCTACACGATTAACAAGAATTTGATGGGTAGAACTGAATAGATCTGGTTCACAAAAAAGCTCAGACAGACAGTCACATTTACTCAAAATTTGTTTAATATGTGTTGAAGAAATTATCATTAAGAATAACAGGTTTCTCCGGTCGGTCAATTCTTTTCTGGCTTGTATAGTCAGATAAGTAGATGATCAACGTGTAACCGACAGGCAAACTGAATCTTTAGAGCAAAACTTCAAATATGATAGTGAACCTAGTGCTTTCATTTATCCGTCATATGAAAATTCTCCAATAAAAAAGAGCTATTCACCTCCAATAGCATACAATCGAAAACACACTGATGATGAAGAAGATTAAAATTATCAAATTTGACCTACGATATATTTATCATACTCAAATACAAAATAATTTAGAGGAATATAAAAGAATTCTAAACAACAACTAAGTGAGAGATGTTTGTGAACAGTGAGAAAAAGAACAAGTGTGATGCATACATGTAAAAAAAACAAATTGTTCGTGTATATACGAATAAATATCCAATGCAACAAGTAATATGATATGTCCAATGATAGTATCAACGGATTTAAAACTCCTCTGTATTTAAATGACGATATGCCACTTTGCTATTCAGATCAATTCTACTAACACGAGATCGTGAACAACACCCACCGTATATATTGTACAATATATGCTGAAACATGTAAAATACACAGTTCAAGAATGAACAATTAAACACTATTATTTATTCAATTGGCAGTGTAATTATTACAATAAAAAAGAAACAAAAATTATCTCTATAAATATGAATTAGATCTAATAATGTCACTTGCATTACGAAGGATATCATTTAAAAAACCATCGAGGGTTAGACAACTATTTTTTCCTAGGTTGATTAACAGCCTCATGTCGTGCTCATTAACTACTCCATACGAAATCCAACTCAGGAGTATCAGATTCAACTGCAAATACAGTCATTTTAGGCTACTAAGTTGACATTCAGAGGTCTATCTCTCCAAATTTGGCCAAATTATTATGTAGCGCGAAAAAATATCCGCTGTTATCAGTGGATAACTACTTCATTAGCGACGTGATTTAAGTTACAAAGATGGGTTGGGACTCAGTGATATCGCTTCATTGAGTAAGACCTGAAGAATTTTGACTCGATTCCTCGAGAAGTGATGAGTGTAGAGTGCTGCTTACTTGAAGTTGTCGCAGACTGAAACCAAACGAATGTATCAATGCTTTCTCTACTACTTAACTATTTATCTTTAATACATAATTGTGTCACATTTAGCTTGCAATAGTCGACATAATTTGAATGGTATGCCGATTTCATTCACAATATAGTTTGGTGGCCCTTTGAGCTTACCGCTTCCAATGTTAGCAATTTAATACAGGTTGAATAAAAGGTATTGTTGCTTAAAACTCTGAAAAGTAGTTCTGTTGATGCATGTTATATCTCGATAGTCGACACTCTAAATATCGGTGAAGTATTGAGTAATTTTTCCGTAACTTAATCTATGAAGTTCGTTTCGTGTGTGATCATCTAGGAGATGGATATGGGGTAATTGTCTAATGACTAAGGCACTCGAATATCCAGCAGCTGATTGAACGTGTACGCCCTATTTCATATACTTCGGTCCCAATAACCTGGAAGTATCTCTAAGTCTTATGATGAGATTAAATACTATGTAAATAAACAGGTGTCTGGCAAACCAGTTATAAGTTATAAATTCTACGTACTCAGCTTTATTATTTATTTATTACAACTCATAGATAATGGTACAAAGAGGCACCAAATACATATGCGCCTAATTGCAAATAGATTATTAACAGTGCTTCACTGTAGATGCCTGATAAAAGTTAATTCAATTATTGGAACTGAAAAATTCCTGAGATACCAAGAACAAAGTTTCTTTGTACAAATTTCTTCATAAAACAACACAAGTGAAAATACTTAGAGATGTGAAGAATTCTAAATATATTCCCTAGACTTTTATATAATGAGGCATTTAACTACGGGTTAAAGCTTTAGTTTAGGTATCTTTATTGGATAACTATAAAAGAATGGTTTTATGGTATCTTAATATGGTCGTAATTATAAGCTGTCTTTTGATTCACTGATTATTGTTCCGATTTTTTAACAGGTCAGAAATAACAGCCGGTTAACCATTTATTTCAACACATAAATATTGGTACAAGAGGGCACCAAATATATATGCACCACACCATATTTGTGTGTGTGGGCTGTGATACTGCCCGGGTGCCCAAACCGAAGCAGGTGGTTTTCTTAGGGGGCCACACCCCATAGATTTCACTGAACTTTGTAAATAAAATATTCGGATAATATGGACGTTGAAATTTATACTCCGTTCTATGTTTTGATCCAATATTTTACTTTTTATTATTAATGGCTTTATTCAATATTATAGTTTGGTACAATATAGATGTACTCATGTGGATTCCAAATGCAATAGCACCGAGTTGTGACAATTTGTCTTAGTATTTCTTTTGTTAATTGTTTTGAAAAAATGGGAAAAGGTGTAACCTATTGACCACATGAGACAAATAGAGTAAGTTAACGAACTTATTGTTAATAAAGTGGAGGAACATAATACAGTCGACATACAACCAACAGAAATGGCTAAATAACTGAACTTAAGAACTTACACAAAGAGGTTTCCAAATGCACAGAATAAGCACAACTAGAATGCAGCATAGTACGAGGACGTAACTCACGGATATATCGGGAGTATCTAGAATAAAAAATAACAAGGTGGAAAAACAGCATGTGCTTGATATATTTGACTGTACACTTGCTGAATCGAAATATAAAACACTGATTAGAATATAAGGTAGATATTTTAAAGGATTTTACTATAGAATCTGTATAATCACAAACACAAACATTTCCACAATAATAAGCTACAGAAAATAGTAACAAATGAATATAGATAAATGATAGCGTCATATTATTTGTATCGTTAAACCAAAAGCTGAAGTCATAGCTGGCGGAGCTTAACCAAGTCGGATCGGAGGTATTTTTTTACCGATGATATCGAGTGACTGTAGATCCATAATTCGAGCTGACTAAAATCACAACTGTGGGTCATCGGATTACAGCTCAGTGGTTTAAAGGTAATGGAATTTCCTGAGTAACTGGGAGATCTGTTTGATTCCGGAATGAGCCTTAAACTAGGACATAAAAGAGGTCTATTGCTCCATGTTTTCCTTAGTTCCCCAGCTGACGCCAGGCCACGAGAACGTAAATAAGTCCGTTTTCAGCTGTTCTGTATCCCGGTTAATTTCGTATGCTTCTTAGACTAATCTTATTGCATAACAAAATTTCCTCGACAATGTGATAATAAAAGCTTAATAAGAAACGTTTAGGGAATTGACGTACTTCGGACACACTAGAAACAGAAGACAAAAAGTATAAGGTCCAAAAGGTATAAGAGGTGTGGTGCATTGTGTAGTGTACGAATTGATATATCAATCAACAGTTTGGTGTGTGAAGTGACGCAGCGACCAGTCGTTGAGTGAATTGTTGTATGTTTATATAATCCAGATAGTTAAGTGGCAAACATGCAATCACACATGTAGAAAAACTTGTTATGAATAAAAATTTTATGACAAGCAAATATAAGATTATTAAAGTGAAAGAAAAAGAATGCTGATCGATCGATTATAATCAGTGATGCGATGTGACCGAATAATTAACATAATCTATAATGTCATTTGAAATCAAAGATAGGACAGCTAGCCAGAATAATAGACTTTTTATGTACTAAAATGACATATTTATACACACAATGTTATCATAAAATAAACACGATATGATGTCATAAACGATTGGAGAAAGTTGGTTATTAGGTTGGTTAAAACCTTATTGATAAGCCTAATTCTTGGAGAGAGTACACGGATAAAAGCCCATAATTGATCATGTGAATAAGTACGAGATAATTAATGGAATTAAAATACATAACGTATACGACTGCCAGATTAATTTCGTGTCTTATACCTGTTTAAATTACCACATACTCGCATAGGAATATGGTTCAAGTGAATAATATGAGGCTGCTACATCAGAAACTATCTTCAAATCTTCCGTAGAATCTTCAAAACGCCATTGGTCACGATTTTCATAGGGATTATCCATAGATTAATGGATTAACGGAAATGGATTGCATGAAATGGTAAGGTAAATCTGAAATAAAATCACTTAAAGCATTGAAACATGAACAAACTGGTTTGAAGTAAGAGGTCATTAGAGAGAACATTGTAGGAGAAAAGATCGTATTGTTTTCCTAACGGTTATGCAGTATTAATTAAAATCGTTTGTAAAGTCTGAAGTAACTTATTATCTCATACATCCTGATCCCTTGATAAATTCATATAACACAAGGGGAGAAATATTCGCGAAACGTAATGAATTCATTATATTTTACGGCTTCTCATCAGCTGCAAATGGCCGCAGTCAACGAAGTTCAATTCAAAACGAATTAAGAAACAAGAGAAAACAACATATTTAGCATAATAGTTAAGACTGATTAGTATCTATATGTTGAAGATGAAATCGTAAAAACGATAGGAAGTAAATTTATAGGTGATAATGAAGAGACGATGGATAAAAACGAGTTGTTAATGAATGAGTGATAACAGTTTGTCACGGCTCAGGAAATAACGTTGAATTTTCTCTTCATGAATCAAAAGGATGTACACATAAAAAGACACACAAGTCCCCGAACGACGCCTTTGCGGTACGTTTGAAATTTGCGTTACGATAACACGGTATCTAATATATATTGTTTGAATACTGTTGAATCCTAGTTTATAACTCATAAATAGCTTTAGAATTTATACTTAAAGCGATATGGGTCGACTGTCAAAAAAACGAGCCCAGAGAAGCCCTAATACTTCAGATAATAACAATTCTGTTGTTACCTATTCCCCATGCTCTGCTACTCTTTATGAAGCTGATAATCTTGGGAGTGGTCTTACACCACGCCTGATGCTGGATGACTCTGTCTCTAATTTAACAATGAGTTCCACCTCAAGATCAAAAAGTATCGATAACATTAAGAGTGAATTAAACAATATCTTTAGGCAACTAAACAACATGCGTTCTAAAGTTGAGTCACTTGCTAGCTCTTTATTAAAGCATGATGATCTGAAACAAGAAATAAAGACACTATCATCCCTTAAACTGCTTTCGTCAAAAGATATCGTTCCTGCGGAACTTGATGGCATTATAAGAGCAGAATCTGTTATCGAATTTATCGCTAATGAAGTTACCAAGCGAATAGTCTCTCGAAATAACGTGGTTGTCTATAATATACTTGACAAAATCCCCATTAAAACTGCAAGGAATTCGATATTAAAAGCATCTAACCTTCAAGACAATCCATGCCAATGCATTCGACTTAATAAAAAGCACCAGAAATACTCGCGCCCGGTTTTGTTCAGATTCGATTCTCATATATTAGTTGAACAGTTGAAAAGAATCCGGGCGGCTAATCTGCGCGCTTACGAAGTTTAGAAACGCTCGTATAGTCTCAGATAAGACCACCAATCAAAGACCTACTCAAAAACTTACCTTGAACGAAAATAAAGGCGTTGAGGACATAACAAATCACGATGCATCAGCTGCTGGATCCACTGACGCAACTACCCTATCTCATGTTCGCCAGTACTCTGATTTACCAACGAAGAGTGCTAATTTGCCTATTATGCCTGTAGTGACATCTGATAACCAATGTACATCTAATGACGACACTAGTCTGATATTATCCAGTTTATCATTAGAAGCCTATAAGCAAATAATTTGTTCTAATGCGACAGCTCTTAAAAACACTGTCAAGATTAAAAAGTCTATGCCACGTAAGAAGAATGTATGTACAGAACCTTCTGGTTCTAGACCCAATAACAAAAATATTACGATGGCCCTACCAAATAAAAATAAGACTATACTTCCCGACACCATGCTTTACCCTACGCATCGTAAGGGAGGTTATAAGGGCAGACTTGATTCAAATGTCTCACAAGACGGCCACTGCAATCATTATGTAAGCAGGCCTAATATTGTGCAGACCACAGTGGACCAACGTGCCCCATGGTTACCCTCAAACGTTTTAAATAATAAACCTGTAAGACGTAACTTTTCTCAACACTTTCCCATTGGGCAAGATGAACTACTAGGTTACTCACCATCAACCAAACCCCAACTAGCAGGTGCTTGTATTAACTGTCCGCCTAGTCAAGTTCAACAAGTTAATCCACTTTATCAAAATAATGATTTTTTGCCTTCAGAAATCCCTGGTCCCACTAGCAATACAGTTTGTTCAAGCTATAGCCCATATAATCAGTCAAACGTAATAAACCACAGTCTACGCAAATCCAAGATACACAACATCAATAGGGAAGCTCTCGGCTTTTTTACACTCCATACTCCATTTTTTAAACTTATTACTTATCAATGCACGTTCACTTCTGAACAAAATCTTAGCCTTGAGAACATTAGCTTTTCTGGCCAAGCCTTCCTTCATACTTATCACTGAAACATGATGCTCTCAAGCAGTATCTGATTCACAATTAAATATCCCGAACTATCGACTCTATCGCTGTGACAGGGAAAATAAGCGAGGAGGTGATTGCATTATATATGTTTTGGATACGATAACAACTAATAAAGTTGAAGATAGTGTCCTGAATAGTTTACCAGAATCAGTCAACACCCTGAATCATAGTCTACTCCTTGAATGTATATACAGAGCTCCTGATAGTTCGAGTAGTGTGGATGATCTTGTAATCAATGCATTTATACATGCATCTGCTCTAAACTTTAACGCTAAGGCTATCACTGGGGGTTTCAATTATCCTGGGATTAACTGGAGTACCGGTAGTTGTCAGTCATGTAAAGATGAGTTCTCGGCAACCATTAATATGCACTGCTGGTCACAGTGGGTTCATACCCCAACTAGAGGTGATTGTATACTCGACCTAATATTTAGTAGAGATGTTACCCCACTATCTGTAAAAGTATACGAAGAATTTGAAAGCAGTGACCATAAGATAGTAGTTTGCGCTCTCCCTATCTATCCCTCTTATAACCGACCCATTCAAAAAACCTGTCAATATAGAGACCATAAGCATGCTGACTGGGACCTTCCGCATTCACTGATTAAACTTTCAGACTGGGATAACTTTTTTTCATGTTATAGTCTCATGGATGCTATCAACGAATTCTATCTGATCGTTAACTCTTGTTTAGATTCCTGTGTACCTCTTAAAACGTACAGGTTTAGTAAACCTTACGAATTATATATACCAGCTAAATATCGTAATAAACTAAGACGCCTACAGAATCGTTATTTCAAGTCAAACGACTTAACGGCAGTTGCACAAATAACGATAAATTTTAACCAAATTAAAGAGAAACATAGGTTAAAAGCCATTAATGAGGAGATACTAACTCAAAGGTACAAAACTTAACTCACCTTTTCAATAAACGCGCTAAAGCAACTCAAAATGTTGATATACCATGCATCCAGCATAATGGCACTTTTATATATGACTCTAAAACTATAGCAGACCTTTTCAGTGGTATTTTTGCGAATTGTGTAGGAATCATAAGTGGCTCTGCTTCAAGAGTTATGCGCGTGACTAGCAACTCAATAAAATCTATCTCCTTCACATCCATGAAAATTAATAAGGCTATAAATACCCTTAAGCTTTCGAGAGGTCATGGAGCAGATGA